CACACACACACACACACACACACACACGTATGTAGTGACATGCAGAGAAAACCTGTAGAGGTTTGTCTTCAGCACATACCAGTCTGCCCTGGGACTCCAAAGACTGCTGTTCTATTGTTTTCTATTGCTCTGATAAACACTGTGACCAAAAGCAACTTGGAGAGGGGAGGACAGGTTTATTTCAGCTTGGAGCTCCTACCTAGGTCACTGTCTATCCCTGAGGGAAGTCAGGACACAAGCTCAAGCAGGAACCTGGAGCCAGAAACTAAAGCAGACACTGGAGAAGAGTGCTGCTCGTTGGTGGCTTCTTCAAGGCTTGCTCGGCCTGCCTCCTGACACTACCCAGGATTGTTCGCTCAGGGGTGGAATTCTCACAGTGGGCTGGGCCCTCCCATATCAACCATTAATCAAAAAAAGGCCCCGTAGACTTGCTTACAGGTCAATCTGATGGAGGCGTTTTCCCAATTAGCATTTCTTCTCAGATGACTCTAGATTGTGTCAAGTTGACAGAAACTAACCACTAATTTAGGAAAAGTGGGGGACTTGGTTTTCCTGGAACTTGCGACGTAGACCAGGCTGACCTCCTTTTGAGTACAGGGATTAAATTCATGGGCTCCCAAGCCTGGCCATAGTTTTCCAGTTTCTACCTGCAGGATCATAGAAGCAGTCCCCAACCTCCTAAGTCCTCCATGTCTAGTTATTCTACAGAGCAGGGACGTTCGTGTGTGCAGCCGCTTGGCCGGGCTAGCCTCTGTCCAGTTCCAATTGACCAGGAGTCCTCTGCTTCTCAGGCCTTCCTTTTCATGGTTTCCTTTATCCAGATCCAGAAACATCGGAAGCGATTGAAGGCCGAAGAGCAGTGGAAACGGCCACAGAACGTGTTCCGGAGGGGAACATCTACCAGGCGCTCGGCCTATGCCTTCTCTCACCAGAGAGGATACGCGGACCTCATCTCCTCGGGCCGCAGCATCCGCAGGAAGCGCTCGCCCCTGGATGCCATTATCGCGGAAGGCACCGCTGAGTACAGGCGCACAGGGGAGGGGCGAGCGGTGTGGGTTGTATTTTTTTTTTTTTTTTTTTAATTCAAGACTCAGGACCTTTTTTTAAGAACTAACAGACAAACTGAGTTTGTCACAGAGCTACCGAGGACAATAACCTTTATAACAGACGTCTAGGGCTGCGCTGTTAAGCAACAGTGCAGCCAAGAGATCACCTGTTATTCAGCCGACTATGTCTGCTGAGATTCAAAGGGAACGTCTTAATCCAGGCTCCATCGAGGACAGTTTCCACTCAGAGATGCTACTGCACTATAAAATTACACTGACGCTGTGGCCTCGAGCATGATCTCTCAGATGCACTTCCTGCTGCTCGTCACTTTTGTTTAAAACAAAAATCGTTTTTAATTTATGAGTGCAGTAACAAAAGATTCGTACCGTGTATCCCCTGACACAAAGTGGTTTAGTGACCTTTTTCAGAGCTAGTGATTGGCTTCCTGTTGCTTGACACCGAGTTATAAAATTGGAAACGAGTTTCCCTGACTGAATGTTTAAGTGCAAAGTTGTCATTCTGGCTTCGATTCACTACCAGGTTAAATAACGCATTCCGTAATTTTACTATTTCATGTTTTAGCATCTCCCTGCAGTCCCAAGTGGTTTGACTCCATACTTTAATTTTTCCAAAATTGATTTTTAAAAGCTGAAGACATTATCAACTAGTATTAAGTAAGTTCCATTTGGATAGGAGAAATAAGTTGTGGCATTTGTTGTGCAGTAAAGGATTATGGGTAATGATAATGGAATATATGTTCCTGAAATGCTAGATGACAGGGATTTGAATGTTTCCAACACAAAGAAGTGATATTGTTTGAAGAAATGGAAAAACCCTGGTGTCAACATTGTACAATATACATGCCCCAAGGCAGGCTATCTTGTGGCTGTTGGTAAATCCAGGATCTTAAGTTCTATCTCGGTACCGAAAGGAAAAAATATCACATGGTGTCCCATAAATATACACAATTATGGACCAATTAAAATGAACTGTTTAGAAAAGACCAGGAAGGTGCCCACTGAAAATGTAGCTGTAGGATTCCTTCGGAAGACAATACCACTTTAGCTCTGAGGAGCCACTGGACACCTTAGAGGGCAGACACACTTTGTCATCGGGTCTTGAAGGTCCTACTCCTACATACCACGGGTGAGAGCGACATACGGACCCAGTCTACAAAGTGTCTTCAAACAGCTGCCTGTGGCTGCATCCAGCCCAACACAAAAACTGGGCATTTATTTAAAACATTATGAGAGGGAGGCTGGAGAGATGGCTCAGAGGTTAAGAGCACTGCCTATTCTTCCAAAGGTCCTGAGTTCAATTCCCAGCAACCACATTGTGGCTCACAACCGTCTGTAATGGGGTCTGGTGCCTTCTTCTGGCCTGCAGGCAAACACACAGACAGAATAGTGTATACAAAATAAATAAATAAAATATTTAAAAAAAAAACATTATGAGATTGTGTGTACACATTTACACAAATGATTCCATTGCTTGATTCTCTAGTGTGAGCTCTGTACATTGTCTGTCACCAGGTCTGGAGCTTGGACGTACCTGGTAGGGAGTCTGGGGAACTTTCCCCCTGTATTTCTTCGAAGTGAAGGAGAGGTCTCCTGTTCAAAACAGATCATGTTTAAACAAACAAATCAAAAGCCCAGAGGGCATTGACAATACATTTGGGGACCCCCCCCACCCCAAAGATGGGGGTTTCTCTGTCTAACAGTCCTAGCTGTCCTAGAACTAGCCCTTGTAGACCAGGCTGGTCTCAAACTCAAAGAGATCTGCCTGCCTCTGTCTCCAGAGTGCTGGGATTGAGGGCGTGCACCACCACCACCCAGTGGGACTATTTTATAAAAAGAAATGTTTGTGTACCCCCTTCCTACAAAATATTGCATACCAGTCTTTTAGGAGTCTCACGCTGACATCTGTCTTATGTCTAAGACACAAGAACAGTATTTTTTTTTTATTTTGAAAAACCCTTAGGTAAGGAAGGAAAATACCCTTGAAAAGGTAACTTTTTTTTTTCCAGAGACGACTTCTCATTTTGTATTGTTCACAAAACAATTCCCCTGCTCTAACGAGGATGTAGAAGGGTTACAGGAGGTGACTTTTGCCCCTTGCTAATGTCCATATCGGCCTGTGAATTCCCAAGAGGAAACCATGTGTGTAGTTCATCTGTACACAGGACAGGGAAATTTGATTGTAATTTTATAATGCTGTATCTAGGTATGATGAAAGAATGTATGCCTATCCTATGGAGGTAAATTTTTGAAAGTTTACAACTTTGCCTTGTAAATAAGAAGAATTATATGTTTTTTTCTCTTTTTTTTACTGAAAATTTAGCTTGTGTAATTTTGTCACTTTCAGCTTTTTCGAATGGTGGGAAAGGTTGACAATGCATATGTGTCAAAGACTTACACTGTTGGGTGCAATATTCATAATTTTGAAATGCAAATCATAAATTATTTCTATATGCTGTAAATCTGAGATTTAATGTATATTTTTGTTTAAAAAAATAAATGCTTTAGTAAAATATTTGTAAAGTAAAGCTTTATGTCTGTGCTTTTTTTTTTTTTTGCCTACTACTCTACACGGATCTACGGTGGACGGTGGAAGATTGTGTGTGGGTCGTTCTGCAGACTACCAGGGGGCGCTGATATGTCTGTGCATTTTTGTGTGTATTTTGTGTTTGTTTACTTGCAGTGCTGGGGTTTGAACCCAGGGCTAGGCAAATGCTCACCACCGAGCTGCGCTTTCCAGCTGTACAATGGTTTTCTAAATTGGGTTGGTGGTGGTGGTGGTGGTGGCGGTGACTGCGGCAGTGGTAGTATGTGTATGCCATGTATGTACTGGTGCCTGCAGTGGCCAGAAAAAAGTGTCAGATCCTCCCTGGAACTGGCGCTCTAGATGGTTGTGAGCGGCTGGCTGTGGGTGCTGGAAACTTAACATGGGTCCTCTGGAAGAACAGCAAGTGATCTTGATGGCTATCTCATTAGCCCCCTAAGTTGTGTGTTTTACTGCCTTTGTAAGACAGCCCTCAAAGATCCCAGGCTGCTTGAACTCCTCACAGAGTCAAGGATGACGCTGAACTTCCAGCCTCTCGTGGTCACCTGCGCTGCTGGTGTTACCAGCGTTACCAGTACGTACCACCACGCCTACTTTCCTTCGGTGTTGGGGAGCAGGACTTTGTGTACACTCAGGAAGCACTCTGCTGAATTACATCCCTAGCTCCTTTTCTTTGGTTTCGTTTGCTTTGCTTTTAAGTGTGGAGAGTACACGACAGAAAATTCTAGTCCTGTGATGGTTCCTGAAAGAGCTTAGGGCTCCACTGGCAGTGAGGAGTAATGTTAGAGACAGAACAAAATGCTAGAAAAGATGTGGCTGAGGAAGATAATTAGACTTTCAAGGAAGAGGGAGTGGCTTTCACGGGGAGACAAAGTCGGCTCCAGATAGATGGCTTTCTCTCAACTCCTTGGAAGGAATAAGAGAATGGAGAAATGAGCGGCTATTCGGAAGTACATGCCAGAGAGCTGAAAGAAACCGGGGCAAACAGCAAGGAGTGAGGAGGCTGGCGGCGGCGGCGGGGGGAGCCGGAGTCCCTGTACCAGTTGAAGTGTTGATTAAGTGCGATGACCTGGCTATAGAGCAGGAAGGACGACCTGAAAAGATGATGTTTCTCAACAAGCAAGGTACAGTTATGCCATCAAGGAGGAGATTCTCCCGGTGAGGACTTCTTTGGGAGGCATGATTATCAGTGGGTGATAAGAGGGTGTCAAGCTCGGACCGGGGTGGGGGTGGGGGTACTAATTAGACGTGGGAATTTCTGAGCAGCCTGCAAAACTGAAGGCTAGCAAAACTACGATGGAGTTGGTTGGGTTATTTTCAACCCAACAGCGCCATCTACAGGTACCTAGTCATGTCCTATAGCAGATGCTGCTCCAGAATGACATCTGATGGAGAGGAAACGATCCCCGACAGCTGGCAATGTGGTAACAAAATGTACCCTAATGGAATCTAAATATGTTTTAAGAGGCGCTGCCTTCCTGTAATGGGAAAGAAGATTAGGAAAACTGCAAAAACGGTTTCTAAAGCTCCTTTCAGAATCTGCTATCTAGTTACAGTTGCAATAAAATTTTTGATGCGTTTTAAAACTAAAAGGCCTGTCAAGACATTGAAGGAAATTTCTAGAGAAGGTGGAAGTTGAGATTCCTAAAACAAAGCTCAGAAGAATAATTTTCTAGGGAGCCTGAGTTATTGCTCAGTGGTTAAGAGCTCTGACTGCTCTTCCAGGGACCCTGTTTTGATTCCCAGCACCCACATGGCAGCTCACAGTCATCAATAACTCCAGCTCCAGAGGACCCAAGCCCTCTTCTGGCTTCCACAGACAGCATGCATACAAGTGGTACATAGACATACTTTCAGGAAAAACACCCATACAGATAAAAAAAAAACAAAAAACTTCTTAAGGAAAAGTGTTTCCTAGACCAGTTACTTCTCCGAGGAGCTGTGTAGGTGGTTGATGGACACATAGAAAGATGCTCAAGATCCAGCCATTCAGAAAGTGAAGATTGAAACAAAGGCAGCCATGAGTGGAAGGACCATTCTCAGCAAGATGAATTTAAGGCCAATATGAATTAGGTCGACCCTACCTCAAATAGATAAGTTATCAAAATGAAATTCCTCTTCACACTCAATAGCACAGTCATGATACTAAGAGAAAAAATGGAGAAACTGAAATCTCCATCCTTTTGGGACATGGGAAGTAGTTTAATCACCGAGGAAGACAGTGAGATGCTGACTCAGTCAACGCAACTTTGACTCCACTCTGAGACACTTACTTGACAGTATCAGAAACAGGCACTCAAGCAAACACAAACCAGTGTTCATAGCAGCCCAAAGGTTGAAGCAACATCAGCATCATCAGATGCCGCATCAGCCCTGGGGAATCAACAGATATGGTAGGTATATGATGGGGTGCAATTTGGCCACAAAAGGAATGATATGATGATCCTTGCTATAACATGAGTGTATCTTGATACACCTTAAATGGAGGAAGTCACTGTCAGGCAGGGGAGGAAGGGGAAAAACAGAAAACACGTGTATGTGAGTGGGGGGCAACAGTTTTTTATAAATAATATTTTTGTTCTTTGAAAAAAACCATACATGTATACAACATATTTTGACCATATCCATCCATCACTATTGCCCTCCATCGCCCTCTAGTGCCTCCAACTTCATGTCTATTTTATTATTGTTGTTTTCAATAGCTCCCTAAGTCTAATTACCACTACCCACATACCACATAGTGCATGGGGATATAGCCATCCACTGGGAGATGAGCAACCTGCCAGCAGTCAAATCCCCAAAGGAGAGTGACCATCCTTCCTGCAGCAGCCATCAACTGCCAATAGCTCTTCCGATAGGGATAGGGTCTTGGGGACCTTCCCCCATACGTGCTGAAGTTTTGACTGGTCAAATCTTGTACAGTTAACCACAAGTGAGGTTCATTGTTGTGTACAATAGCCACATCCTAGAAAGGAACACATTTTTTAAAGTATCTTTTATTATTATTAAAGATTTTCACCTCCTTCCATTTCCCTTCCTCCTCCCCTTACTCCCCCTCCTCCTCCCTCTCCAGTCCAAAAAGCAGTCAGGGTTCCCTGCCCTGTGGGAAATCCAAGGTCCTCCCCGCTCCATCCAGTTCTAGGAAGGTGAGCATCCAAACAGACTAAGTTCTCACAAAGCCAGTACATGAAATAGAATCAAAACCCAGCGCCATTGTCCTATCATACTACAAAAGGAATACATTTTTAAAAATTAGCTCATGTAATAGTGGTGACCTATCAATGCTTAGTGCCAGCAGGATGTCTGCTGAAATGTTGGCAGGAGACTGACATGGCAATCCTGAATCTGAAAGCTGCAAGCAG